ACTAAGGTGACACATGGTGAATGAATGGTATAGTAAAAACACTTTTTGTGCTTTCTATCCCTTAATCTTAACTTTTCTTGCTTGCTAAACACGAGTATATCTCCCTTTTATTCTTCTGTTATGAATGGAAGGAACTGCTAAACAAAGTTCTTATAGACATGATAAGTTACAAATTAACTGATGGACGGAGTATTGAAAATCATAGCCATAATTCTATGAATTTGTAAGCTTAAAGGTTATTTTAAGTTAAAAAAAATTAGGAGGTATATTTTTAGATTTTGAGATTAAAAAAATATAGATAGAAATTAAGAGCTTGTTTTTTTTATTATATTTTAAAATAATACTTTTTAAAAATAAGATGAAAATAAAACTTATGTTAACAAACACTTTTTTTTTACTTTTAAAAAGAATTTTTAAAAAAAATAGAAAATAAACAAGTTATAAAAGTTCTTAAAACTAATTTTTTTTAAAAGCTTTTTAAAAATATTTCTTAATGAAAGAAGTTATTTTTCTAAACACATTTTGTTAAAATTTTGTTTGATTCACTTCTCTTTTCTTTTTTAAGACAAGAGAAGCCCAAAATAATTGAGCACATTAAAATCAAAGCTAAAAGCAGTTGAAACCAGTCATTTTGTTTCTAAACTTTTTAAGAAAGTTTATTTGCCCGACTATCTCCCTTTTATAAGAGAGAAGCTTAAAATAAGCTAAGGCAAACACAAAGGTACATATAATTTTTTTATACAAAACAAGATATTAATTAATTGTTAAAGCTCCTTCAATTGTGCAAAAAACACAGCGAGAATGGATACCTACAAAAGCACTCTAACAATTAAGTTAATAAAAATTCCGATAGAGTAATAGTAATAGTGGCATGAAAGTATGCATACATAGCTTAGCATAGGTTGTGCCATTTATAGTGTTGGGGTCATGGGGGTGTGAGCAAGTCACTACTTGGGTGACATGAGTCTACTCTTGTAGTACGAGTCTAATACTAGGTTATTTTTATGAAGTATGATATGAGTCTAATTTCTATCCTTAAAAATGGAGTAAACATAGGACTCAAATCATGTAGGTATGTTCCATTGCACTTGAATATAATTAATTCGATCCAAATTCCAACTTGAGCCTCAACCAATTGTTTTGTCCAAAACATTTTTCATTTGAAAAACAAAGCATTTAACCAATAGTATTTGTCACTTATTGTTTAAATATGCACGTTGATTTGGTTACATATTTTACTTTAACTTCTTCAATTATTTTTATTTGTTTATAATATAAAAGTTGAAATATGAGTTATAATATTCACATCACAACAACTCAATACCTCTGATCTTTGTCACATCATCAAGTTAACATATACATCACGACTTGGTTGAGTCTTTCTCGCTCTTTCTTCTTTATTTTTAAATTTCCTCTTTCCTCGTAAGTTTAGCACATGTTATTTAAAATCCTTCTATAATGAAATTGTCAATGTAATTACAATATTTTTCCTAATTTTTTTACTAATATTTAAGTTAGTTTCATTTCTCTGTAAGATTTTTTTATCTATATATTTTGTTTTTATTATTGTCATTTATCAATATTAAAATCTAAGTTGTTACACATCACCTCCTTCATTCTCATGTCACTAAAAAAATCATATGTTTTTAACTCTTTTTTTTTATCAGTTGTTGAATTATGCTGCATATGAGATTTAATTTTTAATTAGTAACAAGATTAGATCTAAAACTAATAAATCAATGGAATTCAATAACTTATTTTACTGAAAAAACAATACATCAAATTTACACAACCTAGTAAGCCATGCTAAATTAACAAATAGAGTACTAATATTTTTGCATTTAATTTTAATAAAATTAAATCTTAATTAGTAAACGTTTGATATAATCAATTTATAATAATTTAATATTTTTTTCATTCGTAACGTACTACTTACTATCTTTTTTAAAATTGGATACTTTTAACAATTTTTCTTGCTTATAACATCAAACAACATTCAACCATAATAATGAACATTGTACAGAAGAAAGTCACGAGTTATAGATACGGTGAAAGCATATTTGTGAAAAATAATACATAACATTTTACATATTGATATTGATATTTTTTTTTTCTATACTAAACAAGATCAGTCCTGTTAAGATGGTATGACCTTTATGGGTAACAAAATTTTAACTCTAAATGTTAAACATAATATATCTGAACTTGAAATTAAAAAGTTAAGTTTTAACAAGATTTATCATTGCTATTTATTATTTTATACTTTAGTTAATTACATATTTTAATTGTTTAAAAATTATATAACTTCTACACTTATATAACATCTATACAATGTACAAGTTTATGTCTAGTTAATCTAACATTTCGTTACTGCAAACGAGTGAAATGAAAACAAACGTGCTAAGAATAGAACTGGAATTGTTTGCAGAGTGCCTTGGGTTTCAGATGTCCACAATAATCCATGTCTATGCCAATTGATGTTTTGCTTTTGACATTTTCTACTCACATGGGAGAATAGAATACATTGCTGTTCACCATTGAAATACTAACTATCATGATTCAAACAGTAACTTGCACATGCCAAATTCACTATAATAGGAAGCAAGCAACAACGCCCAGTCCCACATCGATACCAAAATAAATAATGTGGAGTGATGTTATGAAATAACTTTTAGGAGATTTTAATTAATTTTAATCTTTATTTTTGTCCTAATTTTTTTTAAAAATTTAATAGGTTTTAGTATATAGACATGAAGTTGTGGCATAAATTTCGTATCATATGTTAATTTTTTTTACATCACGTTATTATTATTAGAAACAAAAAAGATTATGTTAAAAAAGTTAAGAATTAAAATAAAAATAGAGATTAAAATTTTATAAAATAAAAACATATTTCCCTTCCAATATATTCTACATCATTCAAGTAGTTATAACAAAAAATAAATAAATTAATTTCTCAGCCGAACGATATGGGGCCCTATTAATAGATGTTGCTAAATGTGGGCCATAATCTTCTAACATTCAAACCCTAGCACTGTTCTGCTCTTTATGGGGGGCCTTCTATTCCCTGTAAGGGTGGGTTTTCTCTCTCTTTGGAGAGAGATTTTTTATCCTCTTCAGTAGATTTTTTTAGAATTTTTATTTCTTTTATTTTATTTCTTCTGCCCTTTATTCAAACATCCCTTTTACCACATATTCTCCGTAGCAGTTAGCACTATGGTTACGAGGATTAAGTGTGAGCAATGGCAGGACAATGTTAATTGGGTCTTGGATTGACGAAGTAATTATTCGAGAAATTATGGTTGTTAATTTAAACAGATTAGAGCAAACATGCCTTGTAATCTGATGTTTATCGATCAGATACATTATACATAGTTAAATCATTAAGTGTTGTTGTATTGTCCTTTTAACTTTTCAAACCAAGCTCCTCTGATAAAAAAAAGGAAGAAGAAAAAAAAAAAAAAAAAAAGAATGTATGCGCACTGGTGCAATAGATGGCAAAAAAAATTCAAATGGCAGATAATAAGATTCGTACATTGTTAGAATAACCATAACCATGTTTAGGAAGAGTGACCTCCGAAAGGACAAATTATAGTAACTTCAGTATTTTTAAAGCGCTCTTAACTGGATCAGCTCTATATTTATGATACTAAAATTTGATGTCTAATTGAAAAACATAGTATTTGAATCTATAAGCATTCCATACGGGAAATTCACTGTAACAGGAATCAAACAACTTGGGCTCATCCCATATTGATACAAAAACAAAATCGTGGTAAACAATTGTCAAAATTTATTTGACATCATATATAAATCCTACATCATAGATTAACTAATTGACCATTGATAACAAAAATGATATTAATTATTGAGAAAACCTTCAGTCTGATTCTTTAAAGTTATAAATATTACTGTATTAATTCTTAAAAAATTGGACTAGCAATTATTTATTTAAATATTTAAATTGTTGTCACACAATAGTTTATTTTTCTTTTTAATTTTGATACCAAATGAATTCTTATGAATGACTAAAATAATGACAAAAAGAACTTTTGAGAGACTAATATGATAAATTAAATCTGTAAAAAATAATTTATTTACATTTTTTTTATCTTTGAAGAATTAATTTAGTGAGAAATTTAAATTTAAATTTAAATTTTAAAGCACGTATTTAGTGACCAAATATTTAAAAAGCTAATATGGTGACATTTTAATTAAGGCGTTTGTTATTCGATACTAGAGCATACTATTTAATACAATTCAAAAAATTTTATTTTTTGATAAAAAAATTCCATTTTTAATTCTTTAATTACTGCCCTAATGACATTGATTAGCAAGACTTTTTAATTAGTTTTTGAGCGATTAATTTGATACTTAAATTTTTGAAGGATTAATATACTTATAACGTTAGAGGATATCTCAAGATATGGCGTGAAAGGACACCCATGCTTTGCTACATCTGAAAGATAGGGTCCTATTTGCATAGGAGATGGGATGAATTCAGCTACATGTGGGTCATCTAAGAGGCTCTTGTAGGTACATTGGATGCAATGGACATTGGAAAAATCTCAATGACGGGTGTTTCATCCATGACTAGAATTACCATAACCATTGGGTTGTTTTGGCCAAAAGAAGAGAAGATTAGATTAGGGAGAATGTCCCTTGAATTCAAGACTGAAATTATAGTAACTTCAATATTTTCATAAGCATCCTACTGATATATTTATGGTACTCACTTTGATGTCAAACATATATTTGAATCTATAAAATTATATCAGAATTACGAAGGGCAAAACTAGGAACAAAATTAGAGTTACGAAACCCCATCTCTAAATTGGTCAAAACTCTCTTCTCTCTCTCTCTCTCTCTCTCTCTCTCTCTCTCTCTCTCTATATATATATATATATATATATATATATATTGATGCAATACATTACTTTTTTGAGCAATACATTAAGAATGAAGAGTAACTAACACACATTCTCATCACCTTATTTTATTCATGTGGGTACACTATTTCCTCCACAAACCAATCGATTATAAAAGCAAGAAAACCCAATGTTTATTTTCTTGAGCTTCTTTCCCCTCCCCTCTTTTATCACCTTCCTCTTCCACGTGATCTTCTCCAAAAATTCACTCAAACCGGTAAACTTGGAAAACCCTTTGGCATTTCTGGTTGAAATCATCACTTCATGATCAGGATCAGAGAGTTGAGTAGTTATGATATTCTTTGATCCACCAAGATAAGGCGACACCATCATATGCCTCTCAATTATATGAGAAAGTGAGACCAATTCACATGAGTCATATAATGGGCTTCCACAATCCCATACGGCAAATGCTCCTTTTTGTTCCTCATCTTCATGTTCCTTGAATAAAGTTGTTCTCATCTTGCATGGATTTCTTTTGGTGGTGTCAAAGATTGGTCTGAAGTGACTTTGCCTCACAGTGTAACCTCTATTCTTTGAGTCTCTACAAATGCTTAGATTCCTCCAAGACCAAGAGTCTTCCACTTTTATATTATGGTGACAAAGCTACTCCTGGCAACAAAATAAAATACCATGCTTATTTGGGAAATTTAAATCCTAAGATTCCTAACATAACATGTGCATGATGAGGATCGCTTTCACATTGGCATCTGCATCTAAAAGGGGGTTTTCTACAAACAATTGCCTCAAGTTTGTCCTAGAAAATGACAGATCCACTGATTTAAATATTGGTTTATGATTTAAAGTAAATAATCAATCGATATATTGTTGTGTCGAATGTGGACTCACATTTATACCACATCAACCAAAATGCAGTAAACACTACACGAGGATATATGAACAAAATCTCAAATTTCATTTAATTTTGAAAATAATATGCATATGAATATATTTTTTATATATTATAAAAAAAGGAATTTATATAAGCAGTTCTATTCTAGCATGTTAATTAGAAAGTGACTTACATTTTCATTCATTGTTTTTACTAATTTTGATTTTTATTCAGTTTCAATCTTAGGCCAAATGATTATTATTAGAAAGTTGCGAGGTTAAAAATTACGAATGGAATTAGTGCATGAGAATATACTGTACATAAATCATGACATGAAACTTTTTGCTATTATGTTTGTGCATATGCAATGTTTTCTCTACTTCTGTTTTGTTCATGTCATACTATTTAACATTGGAATTGACATATGGCATTATAACACGAGTCTCATCAAAGAGTTGCTTTTGTATTTCCTTGCCATTGATTAGCCTAGACAAACATAGTAATTCAATATTCAATTCTCCTATGGCAAAGAAGGTGGAGTTGCTAGAAAGAACAAAAAAATATCTGGAGAACACTAACAAGATTTCTCATTATGTTTATTTAGATGACATAAAGGTGACTATGAACTTTTTGCCTTGGCCTCTATACTCAATATGGGCCACTCCCCCATGTATTTATTTAAGATTCGGATCTTTAGCAGGTATTTTAAAAACTTAAAAAATGTCCAGAAAAGCTAAAAAAATTTCAACCTTCAAAATAGTGGTATATTTAATACCTAATACAATAAATTACATTAAATTCAATAAGCCTAGGGTTGTATTCAGAACTGCACTCAAATGCAAGATGTCTAAATCTGTTCATTTCATTTTAGACATTACATATATAAAGTATTTTTCCCCTTTTAAGCAGAATTTTGGCATAACACGCTGTTAGACTTACCTAATGACTAGAAGGTCACAAGTTTGAATCATGAAATCAATCTCTTATAAATAATAAATGACTTTTTTAATATATATTTAATGACATATATAATAAAAAATTATTAAAATCTATAACATTTAATATTGTCAATGTATTAATTTTTATAATATTTTATAATTTTAATAAAAATTTATTATATTTAAAATTATAGTGTACCCTTAAAACATATATAATTTAAAAAATGTAATAATAAAACTACTATAATAGACCATAATAAATCTGACCTTCTCTGACCTTTCTCACGGGAACTTTACAATACCAGGTTGCTCTTTACTCAAATTTTTTTTTTCATAATTACAACTTCACCCTTTGCTGCCACAGCCACTACAACACAAACCTACCACTATCTTCTTTCATTGTAAGATCCACCCGAAAGTTTTTTAGCATTATATTCTTACACTTCCTCTTCTATTCACATTAAAAAAGTCCCAATCACGTGAAAATTACGCTGATGATGATGGAGAAAGCTTATTTGTCCTTTTGCTTAAATAAATCACCAAGTGTTACCTTGGGGGGGATCCTGATTGGTCCATCAGTAGTTCCATGAGTGTTACGCCACAATTAAAGCCCACAATGCGTAAGGACTAAGGATAATTTCTGCACTTTGTATAAGAAATCAAGTTTTGACTCTCTACTTTTTGTTCTCCAATCCTTGGTTGAGATAAAAGCGTTTGAAAAGTGCATTTGTATATAAAAATAAATAAATTTAATTCCTTTTGAAATTAGTCATATTGAAGAACAAATATCAAGGCAGTAAGCATATTCTCAGGGTGAAAAGAAACCTTGTATACGATAATGTGGAAGATCACCACCAAAAATCCAAAACTGAAGAAATATAAAGGGAAGAAGAAAAATAAAGTATCTAAATCATCCTATGTGAAGAATATGAAAATTTTGGGAAGTGTCATGTTTGCTTATGTCATTTTACTTTTTTGTGACAAAATATAACTTATATGCATACAGTTCCGATGTGATGAGTTTAATCAATGTCACATTCAGTTTATAAACCATTTTAATTTATTATTATTATTATTATTATTATTTTAAATGTTTTGCTCAAAGGGTACATATTCATATGATCTTTCATCTTTATTCCCGACAATAATGGCCTTCAGTTCCAACATTATTGAAACAATTGTGATATCAAAGCCAACCATGTGGATTTCTATCCATTAAGGTCAACCATTGGTTATAATATTGTAGAAGGTGCAACAGAGGTGATGAAGGTGGCAGAGATGTACATGTACTTGGACTGAATAAAGAATTAAGTGAGGGAAGAAAAGTAGAAAGGAAGTAAAATGATTTTATTCAATTGAAAGGGAACTTTATAGATTGCTATTTCTCAAATTTTATTCAATTGAAAGCAGTACTAAAATAGTTCTTCACAGCATTGTCACTCAATATTTGCAACACTTTGATGTTTGTAGGACCTACACATCTTGGTGTCTTGAATTGACTCACAGCAGCTCCTAATGCTAGGTAATGTTCTAGAATCTTCTGAAACGTTCCTCTCCTAACAATTCGGAGTTCAAGTGCTCCAATGCAATTGACTCTACGAGAACTAGTATAGCCAGCATCAACAAAAGACTTGTCTAAACAGTTGCAGCATTCAAGAAGCACTTCATCACTTGCTTCACCACTTATTTCCAAGAATAAGACATAGTGTCCTGGTTCCTTTGATAAATCTACATGACTTGTGTAGTCAACAACTTCCAATTTCTCCTCTGCCAACAATTTCGATGCTGCTTCCACAGCCAAATGCAAATCATTCTCTGTGTTTTTGTCAGTGTTAATTGTAAGCACAACATTGCTACGCCGAACAAATTTTACTTCTGGGGTTGAATTATGGAACCCTGTCACCTTTATCACATCCCCTAGCTTGTACCGGTACAAGCCTGAAAATTGCCATAGTTATAATAAGACTAATGTTTTATATAGGTTAGTGGTTTGTTTGAAAATATTAATGAATAATTTATCATTTCTGTAGCTTATTAATATATCGTATCAAAATAAACTGTATTTATCTTATCTCAATAGTTTTTATTAATAAGTTTATGGTATAGATTATCTTTTAAAAAGAATGTATTAAATAAGCATTTTATCAAGTGGAATTTCCAAAATCAGCCCGAGTCTCAGAATTTGGATATATATAGTATTGGTAGTCTATCTATAGTATGCTACTGTGCACCAAGATTTTTACGTTTGAACATGTTTTCTCTCTAGATTAATATTATTACCATTCTACGATGACATAAAACTCAATGTAAATCAAGGGTAGCACAATTAATGTAAGTAGAGGGAGATATATAAAAAAAATGAACATTAAAGGTCACATGATTTACACTAGAACATTATGGAATGTTTTAACTCATGCTGTTGTCTCTATCTAGAGAAAAACGCTTACTTGTTATTCTTTTAAGAGGCATAAAACTCTAATCAATTGAAAAGAAAAATGCTATCAAAGTTTGAAAGTTATAAGCATTGCAATTGCATGTAAATAAGATAGAAATGAACATGCAGATAATTCCAGGCACAGTGAATTCCACAAAATCCAAAATTAGTTGCCAGCAGCTAAGAATAGACCTGTCTTGGAATGATACATACAATAACGTGATTAGGTATGTACTATGTTTCATTTGAAATCAGTAGGTAAAATTTTTTTCCTTAAGTTGGTCCCATGCAGGTCATGTCAATATGGATAAAAAGCAAGTAAGCATATCCTCCCTCACCGTCCCACAAAAAAATTGAAAACTGAAAAGTACTAAATCACTTACACGTCAACGCTTGCTACGAATAAGGATTTTGGCTAAAAGCTCTCAGAAAACGAAATCACCCATGAATAATCTCCATAATTAGCCACTAACTTACCAAATTATAATATTTAATTTCATTCCCAACATAGACTAGCCAATAAGCACTATTTCCATCCAAAATAAAATATTCTGAAATTGCTTTTACATTCGTGCCAAACCCCTCATACAAAATAATTTAAATAATACTACTTCTATTTTTATTTATTTCTCAAGATAAAACATTTATATTGATCAATAAATTTAATCATTATATCGATATTAATTGTTAAGTTAATCAATTTGTCTTCTGTTAATGATTTTTTTTACTTTGGACTATTAAAATAGTATAAATAATTTATACAAAAACATTAATAAAAGAATAACAATTTCTATTACCTTAAAGATGGACAGATGATAAGAATAACATTTTTCTTCTCTATCTGAAGAAATAAGAACGAAAATAGCATATATTATATTTACACTAATCACTTGAGCTGGACCCTCCATTTAATTTCTTCATCTTTTGCTATTAAATTGGCCGGTGAGGAACAAAATAGAATTAATCGGTTAAATAATTAATGAATTCCTGGGAACAATATGGCAGTACCAAAATTAGTCATTATGATGGAAGGAAATAGTAGTTGGTGGAATGGTCATGGTGATTACTGGTCCTAATTCATTATTAGAAGAAAAAGATAGCAAGGGAATAATGGAATACCTGCTGGATTGGTGATGAGAATCTCATACTCCTCACCAACCTTAACTTCAGTGAGGCCCACAGGCTCCGGATCCATACAGAGAAAAGAAGGATCTACCTTAGCTCCCTCAAAGTCTATGAGAGGGATGAATTCAAAATAACCAATTTGAGGTAGCACAGTGTATGTGGCCAATTCAGGGGGCAATGTTGGATTCACATTTGTTGCAATCCACCCTTCAGAAGCTCCATAGTCAGAAGTCAACAAAGGCAACTCTCCTGCATAATGCCTTAACTTTTTCAAATAAGACACCATTGACCCAGTCATGATGCCATAAACATACTTAACATTAGGAAAAAGCGCTGGTATCACTCCATACCAATTGCTCAGTCCCATGCACTTGTTTTGGATCAAGTTGGCCAATTCAGGATCAGGTTTCAGCAATTTAGACATAGCTGTTCTCATTGATGGAACTGTGATCATGCTATTAATGACCCCTTCTCTTATATCACCACAAAGCTCTTCCCAAGCTTGCTCAAAGTATCTGAAAGCATACACAATGCTATGTGCAAAAGTAGAAGACACCAACTGAACTTCTTCTCTAAAGATTAGACCACACAAGAGATGGCAATACAATGATTGGTGAAAATCATAGCCAAATATTACTTCATCAGGGCTACAACATGGAGACTGAATTGCCTTCATTGTATGATTGAACCCGGGGTTGCTAAACACATTGGTTGTGGCAGTTCCTGCTAACACACCCCCTTTGGTTTTGAACTGCTTGCTGCTGTAATTAAAGCTCAAAGCCTTGCCATTCTTTGTAGGAAATTCTCTAAAGAATTGACTTGTGTGAGAAAATCATTGTGCAAAGAACAAAGAACAATGAAGTTGAGATATAAATATAGAAATGTATACCTGTTCCTAAAGGCAAAAGAGGTGTGATATATCTGCACAGTGGTTTCAAACAACTCATCATTCCACGGTACGTATTTTGGCTTTCCTTGAGTAGTGCCAGAACTGCAAAAATACCAATTTTATTTTACTTTTTTCAGAATAAAAAACTTCTCAAAATTCAACTTCTACTTTGATTGAAAAATAAGCATGAGTTAGAGTGTAACCTCAGAGACATGGCTGTGATGGGTTTGGAAGTGAGAATAGGAGAATCATCACCATCAAGTATTCTGTTGATATAAGGTTCCAATTCTATGTGTGAGACAAGTGGAACACAATCCTTGAAACTCTCAGGGTCTGTCCTCCCATTAAGTCCCAAATTCTGCAAGTACTCACATGATGCGTTATCTTCCAAAATCCTTCTCAGTGTTTCCCTCTGAATCCTCTCAGCATCCTTTGTAATCCTCTCAAATTTCTCTATTACTTTGTCCATGTTAAATTCTTCCACTTTCTCCAACATCTTCACGGTTCTTCAGCTGCAGCTATTATTAAAAAAAGAAAAAGAAGTACTCAATTATATATAAAAAGGGTCATTCAGAAATGAGCTCTTGCTTATTATTATATTATTTATTGCCTCCATAAATGCTAGTCCAAAACGGTATAAAAAGAGGGGGGGGGGGGGGGTGGGAATAATTAATTTACATAAAGAAACAGTTCTGAAAAAGCCAAACTGCACCCTTCAATTACGGTTTAATATTATTTATTTGCAATAATAATATTAATAATAATAATTTTCTGGTGTTATTTTAGACGAATAAAAAATTGGAAAATGAAAGCAAGAGCAGGACAAATGCACATTCTATGGGTACTTTGAACCATTAAAAAGACCAAAACAAAGGCGAACTTGAACAGACGGTGGAAAATGATATAGAAAGTGAAAGAAAACAACTAAATTGGCTAGTGACGAAGCCCAAAAACGAAAAAACAAAGAGGGGAATGGAAAATAAAAATCATAATGAACACTATGAGCTTTGATATTTGGCTTTTCTTTTTATTCAAGTCAACGAAACCATTTGATAGAAGATTTGTTCCAAGCACCAAGATGAAAATTCGTCAACCATCAAATCAATTTCACGTCAGGCAGAAAAAATAAGCCCGAGAAATTTGAGGAAACAGAAGAAAATTCTACGCAAGATGTAATTTTTGAGTTACCGTACAACTGTGAGAGCATAAAAAGCCAAAAACACAAAAAGTGAAAGTGAAAAAAAATGTCAAAGGGAACCAAAAAGTAGTCCTTGAAGGGTAAAGAACAAAAAGTGGTGTTCCATAAATATTAGTTTTTGAAATACCCTTCGTACAGAACTAATTGAATTGGGATACAGATAGAACAAGAAGACAACTGAGAACCAGAATTGAACCCAAAAAATAGTTACGAATAGTGAAATATTTAAATGAAAAATATATATTTTAAAAAAAAGTCAACAAAGGCAAGTGATGTTTGGTTCCAAGAAAAACAAAACATAATTCATCTGGGTTTTCTAGTTTCTGGGACTTCAACAACCATGTCTTGTTGAACAACCCAAAATCCAGCGGAAGTAAAAAGAAGAAAAACAAAAGAAAGAAAGTTTGTGTTTTTTTCATGGTTAAGATACTAGAAAATGAATATACCTATCTAGGACAATTTTGCTGTGTGTGAGGATAGAAAGGGTGAGTCAAAACAGAAAGAGAAAAAGAGAGAGGGTAACAAATGGATCTGGTTTTGAGAACGTAGTTGTATTGCTATAGTATATTAGTATGGGAAGAACAAGACTCAAGAGAGAGGAAGTTAGAGAGTGCTGAGGTCAAGATTCACCTCGGGGATTGCAATTTATAGGCAACATCAATTTCAGTTTCACTTTGCTAAAACATTTCTATCATTTCTCATTTTCATCATTTTGCCCATGGATTCTGGACGGAATTACAACACAATCAGTGCTTGGATTTATCAAAATTCAATCAATTCAGCACCACTTCTTATTTTTCCTTTATCTATCTTTTCCAAAAAGAAATCTTTTTTTTTTAATATTTGTATGGGTTTTTAAAAGTTGAAGATCATGTTTTTTTCTTGTTATTTTCCATTTAATATTTTTATTTTTATTTAGTTTAAAATATATATCTTTAGATTAAAATACAATAGAAAATTAAAATAATTTTAAATTAATTATATTTTGATCTTCTAGTTAGTGTTATATGTTTTAAAAATTATTATTTATTTATTATTTTAAATACATTTTGTCAATAAAAGTTTCAAAGGTCATGATACTACAAAAAATTAACAAAATAAAAAATAAGTATTTAAAATTTTAAATTGTTCATGAATTGAGATTTGGAGAAGAGTGCTCAATATTGGTGGTAAGAAGATGGAAGAGGAAAAAGAAAAAATATTGATCATAAAATTTAAAGAGAAAAATCATAAATAATATGGTACATTATATGTGACACAAAATGATAAAATTTTTAATAAAAAAGATTTATTTAAAATATTTTTATAAGTTAGAGGACTAAAATAAATCAATAACATAAAATTAAAAAGACTAAAGTGAAAAAAATTAATTATAAAATTAAAATATATTTTAAAGTTGAAAGACAAAAATACTAATTTTATCAGTAGAAATTTATAAACATTTAATATATTTAAATTTTTGAAAAAATTATATTTTTAAAATTTATTATTTATTTATTATTTTAAAAACGTTTTTGTCAGTGAAAATTTCAAAAGTCACGTTGCCAAAAAATCAATAAAATAAAAAATAAATATTTAAAAATTTAAATTATTTATGGATTAAAATTTAAGAATAAGTATTTGATATTAGTGATAAAAAAAGATGGAATAAGAAAAATAAAAAATATTGGTGATAAAGTTTGAAGAAAAAAAGATGAACAATATCATAAAGTACATGTACCATAAAATAACAAAAGTTTTTAATGTAGTTAGAATTTTAAATAAAAAAATTATTTAAAATATTTGTATAAGTTAAAGAACTAAAATAAAAAAAATTAAATGATAAAATTGGAATATACGTTAAAATTGGATGACAAAAATACTAATTTTTTCTATAAAAATTTATAAATATTTAATATAGTTAAAAATATTTAATATTTTCTTTATAAATAAAAAGATTATTAAACTAGTCTGTAATATATTTAACTTCTTTATTTTCCTTAAAATTTAATCAATCAATTTATCTATATATAATGAATATATAAAAGATATTTTTTAAAAATAAATAAGTATTAAAAGATGAGGAAAAAGTATTTAATATATTTAAAGAAAAATATTTTAAAACTTTAAGCTTTCTGTAATTAATAATGTCAATTGAATGCAAACCAATTTTATAATAATAATAATAATTTTTTATTATTATTATTATTATTATTATTATTATTATTATTATTATTTATTTATTTAAGTTGTCTTAAAATGGTAAAAAAGTATTATTCAAATTTTTAAAACATAAAAAATTATTACTTTACTCAAATAGAAATAGATTATTTTAAATTATTTTTTGAATTATTTGCAAATATATTTTATAAAAAAATTATTTTACTTAAATTACAATTAATCACTAAATATGAGTGTCTCTTTTTAATATACAGATTATAATCATAATCATAATTCATCACATTACGAAAGAGTACTACTCCCTTTTATTAGAGTCAACTCTCGTCAGTCTAAGGTTAATATAATAATATCTTTTAAAATATTATATCTCATTGTTAGTATAAATTGTATAAATAAAATCTCTTTGCCTTAAAATTGACTAATATTTAAGATATTTTTACAAAAATTAAGGAGACTAATAAAAATATTTTATTCTTATTACTTGTTATATTTATTTACTAAAAAAATTAAGTCGTGCAATATTAAAAAATTGTTACATCAAATATTTTGAGCAGAATTAGAATAAAATAATATTTTTTTATTAAAATGTTAAAACCTCACTTAATTTAAAATAGAGTATTTAATAATCTTATTTATTAAAATAGAGAAATACAAAATTTAAATGCAAATTTTTAATTTTTTTAAGGGCGCGTGTTAAGAAGTTTAGAATATAAATTTTTAAAGTATAAATTTATTATTATCTCCAAATATTAAATAAATTTAATACATTTAATCTATAATGCTTTAGTGTATTTTTTTTTCTTTTTAAATTACATATATCTTTTACTAGAAACAATTATGTTTCACTTGAGTAGAATCACTTCATACAAAAATTTTAAATATTTAATATTTCTTAACATATATTCTAATATGCATGTTAAAAAAATTGTTTAAGCAAAACTTATGACCTAATATAAAATAAATAAATAAATAAATATATTATCTTGATTTTTTTTTAAAACAAAAGTATGTCATAATGATATAATTTGTTTAAAAGATAAAATTTATATGTTGTAGTTTAGGTGTTATTTACTAATTAAAATTATAATTTAATTTCAATAAAAATTTTATATTCAATATTATTATAAATAATCAATATAAAAATCTAATTTTAACAAAAAAAAATTATCATAAAAAACACCACTGCATTTAAAGTTTGTCTTCGTTCTCACGGAGGGAAAAGTATAGAGTAATTTTGACTTATTTAAACTAGTGATTAAGTATTACAAAATACTCCAAATATTACTCAAATATTAAAAAAATTTAAATTTTTTATGTAATAATTTGGTTATAGAATATTACTTAAGCTACTTCTTTGCAACGATTTGGGGTTGTCTTGATTGAATTTTGGGCTTCTTGTCTTTAAAAATATTAATCGGATTCGAGCTTATCCTACATGAAGAACGATAATAAAGATATATTAATATTAAAATGAGATAAAAATATCAATTGGGTTTTAGTCACTTTAAAGATTAGTTTACTTAAATAATAATGATTAATAAGCATCTTTAACAAGATTAGAATAAAAGCTCATATTCAAAGAAACTTCAAACTTTTTATAATTTGGACTAGTAAACATTCTGCATTTAATGCAGATAATATGCAAATAACATTATTTCAGTTAAAAAAAGTAATAACATTTGTGTGTTAGAAATTAAAACTATCTTTGATTTTAAACAATTAGTTTTTTAATTACTGGAAAATTGTTTAATGATTTAATTTGAAGTATTAGGTTATTTAGATTACCCTTATTTCAAAGCAAACAAAATTTGTTGAAAGAATTCACACATTTAGCATGAATCACTAACAACTCTCTCCCCTTATATCAAACTCTCAAGAAATTCTTTGTACTTAATTTTTCAAAGACTAGAAGATAAGTTCACATTAACTCTGAGGTTTAAGTCAAAAAACAAAACACTGAAGTATAACTGCCCGTGATAAATTAAACGTGTTATTTAGGACGTGCATGCACGATGAAACTTGTGAAATAGACAAATATAGTCTGAATTCAATTGAAGTGAAATGTCATAATTATAACTTCTTTTTATCGTTTGTCTAAATTGTAATTTTTCTTGAAAATAAAAAATATTATAAAATATAATACATTGATAATATTACATATTATAATTTTAATAAAAAAGATTACTATTTGTTAACGTGTACTTTTTAATATGTGAGAAAACTCTCTAACAAAATGAAATAGTAGAGAGAAGAAATCAAACTATCTTTAATATTGCTAGAGTTTTAGAATAATTTACCCAAAAACCTTTTGGGGATTGACTATTGGTCATATTGTTTATTATTGAAATAGAGTGCCTACTTACATTTTGGAGTCAAAATCACCACATCAAGTTCTTTATGGTGAAGTTCCTGATATTTAATGCCCAAGGGTCTTTGTGTGTTTATGTTATCGTTCTACTATTTCTTTCAATAGAAGTAAATTTGATCACAAGACCTATAAATGTATGTTTGTTGGATACTAATCAAGAATAAAAGGTTATTTAGCTTAGAATTTGAATACAAAGCAGTTGCAAGTCTCTAAAAATATTAAATTTGAGTAACTTTTTTTTTCTTACCTATTAAATGTCATAAGATCTACTAATTTTACACCTCTACAATGCACAACTTCAATTCTTACACAAACTCTTCTTCACTACCTACTAAAACGCCATTTTTTTTTACAACTAAACAATGAGCACACATTCTACAACTCAGAACTTTCTTATATTATTCAA